TCGGTTGGGACGACTCTTCGCGAACCCGCACTTCACCACCCGAAGCGTCCCGGACCACTTCGGGGTCGCAATTGGCCTGTCCAGCTGCTGCCGGGGCCGCTGGGGTCGAGAGGAAAGTCTTCACGCGTGAGAGAAGGTCGTCGACTTTCGGGACGGGACCGAAGTTGGGCCTTCCGCCAGAGCCCTCGGCACGTGGCGTGGACACAGAGGACTCCGAATCGGAGCTAGAGGTGTCAGAAAGCGTGGCGTTCATCAGTAGACTTGGAGGGGCGGACCCTTCACCGATATTCTTCAGCGAGCCATCGGTGGTGTTTTGAACAGTCATTGGAACGGAGCTCAACTACGAGGAAGCAGCGAAATGACGGCAGCTGCTATGACGCGAACTATGTTCAGAGTCCGTTCACTGAAGGTGGTCTCTCGGCGCTGGTGGGAAGGAGTTTTTCAGAGCAAAATGAAACTTCTCGATTCGAGAATCTCTATTTTACTCTGAAAATCTTACTTGAGATTCTTGTACTGAAGTAGGCGCATCCCACATCAGACAATTAACAACATTATCATCGTCAACACCACCATCGACGGTACCAAGTCTGCCTCAATCCGCTACGATTCTGAACAAATCAAAGACCGGTGACAAGGGTAGAGAAGAAGAAGAAACAATCATATCGTCGAAGCGGCGCAGATATTTCTTGCACATTGCACGAAAAGTGCATCTATTAGGAGGCAGGCCCGTCGCGTATGCGTGCTTCAAAGGCTTCGCACTGCTCTCATCACCCGCCCAGGTTCAATCCCGGGCGAGGGTATGTATGGATACCAATGGAAGCCTTCCTTATACATCGTGGTGTACATGGTATAATCGCCACGTCTCTCAGCACAAAGGGCGCCGGCTGTCACGCCAATTTTACACAATAGTGGTCTTCAAGAATATTTGGATATCGCTGCTCGTATGCTATTGCTCCTAGACGGTTACAGCCGTGGTCGCTGCTCCTCGCGTTCTATCGTCCCGCTGTCGATGATAATAACAGTTTTCCATCTGATAGCGGAATTCTATCGGTGAAAGTTGCACTGAAAATCGCTGCTGATCGGACCAAGAGGAAATGCCTTCCTCTGAGGAAGGTCCGATCTGAGGAAGTTCCTCAGAGTATGAATCGAACCGCGGCTCATTCGAGTATAGAACTCTTCATCCTTAACTCCCCAGGCATTAGTCAGCCTCGCCAGAACTGCCTCCTGTTTCGATAGTTTTGCTCTCAGTGTTTTTCATTCAACTGACCCACTAGCGACTGTGCGCCCCAGCGGGGATGATTCGCAGCTTCAACGCAGGTAACGGAGGAGGCGATCTGTCACTGCCCGATCGTCACACGCAGCCTCGCGTGTGGCGTTCAGTCGGCAAGGGTTATGAGCGTTCATCGTTCGTCAGGGACCTGCTTCGGGCTGAGTCTCCGGACAGGGATGCTGATTGTGATGCTCATCCTCCTCGCCGTAACTTTCTCTGACATCGCATGGAGATGGCACGTGCACTTCCATGAGAACACTATGCTTGTAATAGGCTAAAAGATATGGTCATCTGGCGTAGTAGAAACGTTGGTGGTTTGCTATTCGAACGGCTTCTCGTTCTATCCCTGCCGTCGAGTATTTCTACCGAATGACGCCGTCCTTAGCAATTCGATGAGCTGTTGGGCCGTCGAACGAAACGTTACGTTCCGAAGGTGCCATCCTTACAGCCTGTAGCTATTAGCCACTCTTGACAGTCATCAACGACACGTAAAATCTCGAATCTGATTTTTATTTCGTTTCAGCACCCAATGATCAAGCCGCTCATGTTCGACTACGCCCCCCTCGTCCTCTACGTATTAGTAGTTTGCGATTTTATCCTGGCTGGCGCAGTTATCGTAACAGAACCAGGCAGGGCTAAGTCGCAGCTTGGGAAGGTGAGACCGTAGTAGCCTTAGCTGGTTCAGTAAGACAAGAGTAAATGGGTTGCGCGTGAGGTGACACCTGAGAGGTGTACATCGTCGTCGTGCGCTATTGAGAACGTATTCGAAAACTCATAGGCTCCGGCCGCCCGACTTACGAAGTGACTGCTGTGTTGATCCGCTCCACCCGGTGAAGTCCACTGTATCATGCTCGTGTCCTCGATCTTCTCAGGCTTGGCTGATATTTATGATCATCACATGCCTGTGGTGGTTGGTGGTCGGCTTTCACATGTCAGCTCGCCTGCGGGACTTCCGAAAACAATTTGGCGTCTCCGGGGCACTCAATAAAGCCCAGGAGAAGGACACGAGAGTCGCGAAGATTCTCCGAGGCAAAGGGAGGGGCACTGTTCTTCAAGGCGCGGCATTTCTCGCCGATCGCACTGTAGCCGGAATGATGTCGGGGACGCTGCCCGAGCCAATAGGGGAGCTCATATGGCTGAGCTGGAACCCCGGGCTAGTCGTAATTTTATTCGGCCTGATACCATTCGGTACCGTCGGTAGCACTCTTATTTACGTGGCGAGCTATGTGCATGTGGTATCTAGAGGTGGGGACGGGACCGAATGCCTCGAGGGTGGGAAGATTGAGGAGTTCTACGATGCCCTGGCAGAAGAAGAGTAAGTGAGGGCCTTGGAGTCCCCAGCGAGCCCTGCAACATTCCTGCCTCAGAAATCTCGAAGAGAGAGAGTCCTCCATGATCGCCGAATAAATGAATCTACACCGAACTGTCGGGAGAAAGTGAGTTATCGGGGCGACGAAATCTGCTTAACGACGCAGCGAACGAACGCGCCTGTTGAGTCAAGCTAGACGATCAAGCGATCAGCGCCGCCTTTCTCGGGGACTGCTCCGTTAAGTGGTTCCATCCGGACTTTGATCGTCATATATTTTCTCAGAAACGAAAGCTACAACTGAAGAACTGTGTTTGAACATGCTGCCTGTCACATGCCGCACTGTCACCTGCTCAACTGATGTTTGATACGACTATCGCGTAGATTTGTGAGTTTTTACTCGAAAGTGGTCTGCAATGTGCTGAGCGAGGCTGAGTTTCGGCTCAGAATCGGCACGGAGCCAACAACATTTGCCCTCTCAGGCCTTCTGAACTAGCAAGTATCATTTGGACGAGGCTTGAGAGGGGGTCTTCGAAGATTCTCCGCGTTGGGGCTCACGGCCTTCTTTCACGGAGCGAATCGCTCCGAGCGATTGTAGAAGGCCGAAAGCTTTATCCCGGGCTGTTATTCTCGCGTGTGCAGCAATCATTTTCACTGGGGCAAGCCTGGCCGACCCAAGCGTCGAAGGAGCTTTCGGTTATGAGCGGCCTCTCCCAGCCTGCGACTCGCAGGTACGAGTCACAAAGCATCGACAGTTGAGTTCATCATGGACGGGACGAAATTCTAGTGATGCAGAGGGCGCAAGGGCAGACTGTTCACCGTGGACAACGTCTGGCTCTTCATAATCTTCAGACTCAGAGTCCCTGAGTCAGAGTAAAGTAATTGACAAAGCCGGGCCCAATCAGAAGATGGCTCTCACCGAATGAAATGCGTCTGACTTCACTTCAGTCACAGTTTAGTGATGCGTGCTATCAAGATCGTTTGCCGAGTTGCACCGAGCCATACACAAGTTACTGTACGGATTGCAACTGTACGACTGGAATCTGTTTGCGTTCGGAGTGCCATTGTACCACTTGATGCCCACTCAGGGTTGGCAAGTCTAGTGACTAGCGACATATATGAAGACAGAGTTCCATGAGCTCACTAGAGGGCAAAGTGTCATCCTTGAACGAGGCAAAGTTCCTCGTACTCTCGGAACCCCGCTCTCTTCGGTCCGTAGCAGTCGCTCACTGCATGCTACGGTACGAATCCGAATATGCAGCATACGGGATCAAGTGTGTTCTCTTGAGTAGAGTAAGAACTGTGTAGTTGGAACTGTCTCGGGTCAGCCGCCTCCTGAATACGCAACACTCGTAGAATGTGGTCTCGTGGCCTAATGGATAAGGCGTTGGTCTTCGGAACCAAAGATTGTGGGTTCGAGTCCCACCGAGATCGCTATTCTTTGCCGAGTGTATTTGTGGCACAAGTTGGTTGCCACAAATTATGAATTGTTGCCGAATTCTTAGGCCACCACGATTCAACTTGCGAGGAGAAGCGCCTGAGCCGAACATCGAACTAAGGATTCAACTTGCGAGGAGAAGCGCCTGAGCCGAACATCGAACTAAGGATTCAACTTGCGAGGAGAAGCGCCTGAGCCGAACATCGAACTAAGGACTTCGCGCAAGCAAGGTGCGATTAATACGACTAGGCCGCACAGGCATACCGTCAACAGGGTGGCTGAAACGAAAAGAACGGTTTTTCCCAAGCGTTCCTACGAGAGATTGCTGATGAAAAAAAGGGTCTCTTAGAGAAGATGGCAAGAAAACTCATTCTTTACTTGATCCGGACCCGATGTTGATTGTTGAACAATCATTGCCCTGCATTTTCACGGTTCGCGGCTCATAAAACACAGCCATCGAGTGCCTGTGAGATGCAGAATCCATCACTTAATTCCAGCGCCTCCCCCAGCCTAGTTTGGTGGCCCGGTTAAGAAGACATATAAGGAAGTTTTTTAGACATAATGGCCGAGGTGATGTACTCTGCCGCGAAGTACAAATTGCAGCGCTATCCTAGCACGTATGGGAAGCCAATGGCCGGTAGACGGTTCGTCGTGCAGTTAAAAGTCTTAACTTAAGACTGTCGCATTGTTGGAGCTGCCCGATCAAAGTTGCTACCCGGATTTGGACCGGGGTTGTCACGGCCACAACTAACGTCCTAATCACTAGACGATAGCGGCGCATAAGAGCGTTTCGTTGCAGCGTATTGAGTGCGATTACTATCACTATTACTATTAGCCGTGAAGGCTAATAAATTTAGTAATAATTGATAGTATCCAGTAATAGTATTACTGGTGAGAGTTGACTTTGGAATGGTCTTCGCTGAGGCTATCAATCTCGAATAATGTACTGCATACGGCCTGGGGCAGCATCTATGCACGTCGGCATCGACAGTTTGGCCGAGTGGTCCTAGGCGCTAGCTTCAGGCGCCAGTCTACGGGGGCCCGAGTTCGAATCTCGAAGTTGATATGGCGCACACTGATCATTGATACTTTTACATATTGAGGTATTGAATCTTGATACTAGTCACTAGTATCGTCGTATCAGCTGCGATATTGGAACACACTAGGTCATAGACCAAGAGGGAGGCCCCCTCCCGGTGGGGGCCTCCTGCGCCCACTTGAAACTCCCGACACGGGAGCATCTCGTAACACAAGACTTCTGTCATCTCAAATTATTTGAGTCAAATACGAATGTTGACAACTGTAACCCAACATGATGAGAATTTGGTGGTTGGGCTTCCAAGGAAATCGACCAAATCGGACTGACGGAAACGGCAAAAAGTGGAATTCATCGTGAAGGTAACGATAGCCATCGGCGGAGTCATTCCGACTAGGACACACCTTGGATATGTCAAGAAGACTTCTCTACAGAGTTGACTTGTGTTATTTAATAGTTTCTCGAGAACCATTTACTTGGCCGAATGAAAATAAGTACTATCCTCGATCCATAAAGAGTTCAGAACAATCAAATGGAAACCAAGCGACTATTAAGGGTCCATAAAATGAGAAGCCTCTCACGTAAAGGCTCAGTGAGCTGTCAGAATTTCCCGATACTGAGTATTGTTACAATACTATTGTATACTCTGAGTTAGCAGCTGCTTTTAGATTCAGCGAGAAGTTGAGACCTCCATGGAAGGGAGTCCCATCCATGGCAGCTGCCGTGCCACCAGCTGGCCTTCAGAAGTATACCGCTTTAGTATTCCAGAACTCCAAACTCCACCTCCAGTGATTGCTCCATAAGATGACATTCACCCACGCGGTAAAGAATATCTCCGACTTGAAAGTCCACTTGTTAGGCTGGTTGTCGAGCGTGTTCCCCTTGATGTTAACCCCAGCACCAGCGCCAGCGACGAGCAGGGATATGCTTCTACCGATCTCACCATAGGCCGTGATAACGTTGTTCGGAGCCGCTGTGACGTCAATTTTCGCATAGGCGGTACAGTCCATGACGCTTCCGACCACGGGGAGATTCACGTTGAATGAAACCGATATCTGCATTTCAGCCTTGAATATCTGCTGCGCCGTATCATCGGAGACCTTGCCAGAAACCGTTACATCGACGCTCAGACTGGCTCCTTCCCCCACCTGCCATATCGTAGCTGTTCCCTGGGCCACGGACTCCAACCTCAGAACACGGTTGCCGAGTTCCTTTCCGATTACAACAGCGACGTAGAGGGAAGCCTGCTTGTTCTTATCATTCACATCAACGAACGTCAGCCCTGCCTTCAGCGTGTAAGTCGACATAGTCGCATCGACGGCGACGAAGAGGCAGAAGTTCAGAGCAGTAGTTCCATCGGTGTTGTTGCAATTGCTGGGGAACTCAAATTTGAGCAGTTGAAGGAGGCGCCTCTCATATTGGTGATGGAAGAACGTATAAGCCGCAGTGCCCTCGGCAACGTCGAAGTACGGGATGATATCCTGTCTTTCTGTAGCTCCACGCATCCTCCTGCCAGGAGGTATCCAGTCAACCTCTTGGCCGTCTCCGAAGAACTCCCGTTCAGACTCACACACGTAGGGAGCACCCAAGAGATCTTCACATACTTTGGGAACCTCCTGACTCTCTCCAACAGATAATATGCGAGACCCGATACCATACATGGTGTGCACTTCCTTGATAGAGTCCTCCACAGTGAGCGTTTCATCCAAAGTGCGGTAGTTGGAGTACTCTGTAACTTGCAAGGCCTTGTTGCAGAAGGAGTTAGACCCGACCAGCTTCACAGGTGCTGAGTCATCTGAGTCGGTATAGAACGTCCAAATATCAGGGTACATACAAGTCTGATAGACGGCTGTGTAATTGAAGCCAGAAGCCTTATCGAGGCCCTGTGGCCCACGCTTGGTCCATCTGTGTAACGCTTTGCCGTCGAGACTGGTCGTGCCTTCGTCAGTCCAACCATCTTTACTCAGCCCGGTACCGTAGAGGCGCTGCGCTTCGAACTCGGGCGTACTGTCGATGAGGGCGATGGCTTGGTGGTTGTACAGCTGATGAACTTTGACGTTCTTTAGGGTCTCGGTGTACATGAAATACTGATAGGGGCGGCTTGGCATTGCTTTGACCCTCACGTTGCCGTCTTTAGCAATAATGATATGCTCCCTTGTAGTAAGAGAACCGTCCTCCATACCAGGCAACGTCAGCCCGAGAGTCTCTCTAGCTCGAGATATGCCACAGGGGACGAGATTGCCATGAGCGTCCTTCGCATCTTTATTGCAAATGTTAGTTGTAGTAGCATGGAAGACCGCCGCCCTACCCGTGAACTCCGCGTGGACAGCATAAATGATGCATAGAATAGTTAGTTGGATCATTGCGACTTGTCAAGACTTAATAACTGGGGAAGCAGTAACGGGCCTTCAGCTTGGTAGAACGATCTGCTTGATGAAGTCGCTCGAATGGGCTGGCCAAGTAGCACACCTGCGAGCTAGCTAGTGGCTTATAGCCACGAGAAGTCCTCAATGGCTCCCTGTCTCCCTTCCAAACCATGCCAGATTCTAACACAGGGAATCGAATGACTCACACATTGTAGACGTGCAGTAGCTCTCACGAATGAGAGCCCAGGCAGGATGAGGTTGAGGCACCTCAGCGGTCCCTTTAGTCTCATATTAGAAGGGCAGCTCCTTTCTGAGAGGGACACTGTCCCCGGGACAGCTAGGCTCCTGTCCCGTGCCGCCGCGGCACTGCCGCGCACCGGATTGACTCTGTCGATTCGACTACTGTAACAATAGTAACATACCACCGATTCAGATGATATGTAGGGAGACTACCGCGGCGGTCCATTCTCGTCGCGCAGTCAAACAATCAGGGTGGCACTCACTGCGGGATTGCAGCCCTGAATGGTGCCCGCAATGCACTATGCGGGAATGCTCCCCTTGCCGCCGTGAAGTGCGTGCGCTATAGCGTCTCTCGTCTAGCGACAGTTATGTGGTACTTCGATGATGGGGATGAGGCGGCCAACGAATTAGTGAGAGCTTTCACCTCTCCTCTGTTCCATTGAGGTTTGCGATTGTCCGACGAAGGCGAGCTCGTGGCGGCCACCGGTTGTATGATAGGGGAAAATCAATCGCTCGTCAAAACGAGGTTTCCCGTTCAATGAAGGGCGATGATGATGAAGGGCCTTCATAATCACCAGTCCTTGAAGTCCTCACTGGATGAACCACTCAGTTCCGGTCGATGTGAATGCTTAGTGATACGTCACGGCTGATAGTCCCCGTGTCCTAAGCTTGCTTTGAGAAGACGAGGAGAAATCGCGGGGATGGAAGATGTGAGATAACGGCTCAAGTAAGTTACTTGAGCCGCTGATTACTTGAAGTAAACCTCTGATGATGCTCCCCTCTGCCAGGAGGGTTAGCATGGCGTACTGTAAGGCACAGTCCGTAACTGCACGGCTTGACGCGAGACGAAAGTGGTCTGTACAAATCAGTTGAGTACTAGGGTGGTGCTGTATGAGACAACACATCTGTAGCACTCGATACCGACAGTTTTAAGTTGAAAGGGGCGGCGATTCTAACCGCTTCCTCTCAGTCCCCCGCCGTCACGGTTCAACCAGTCTGGGCATTCCAAAAACTCGACAAGACTCTACTAGAGTCGACCCTCTTGACTAGAGTCACTCTAGTCAAGAGGGTCGACCGCGTCAAGTCGACGCCGGGTGTCTTTAAGGCATAGCTCAGCTATAATAACTGCTAGACATCACGTCCCATGCCCTATGATGATTGCAGACAGCATAATGCTGTCAGCATTTGAGACGTTCTGGGTCTCGTCACGTCACAACGTACTGAATGCGTTCTTTCATGGCAGTTTCTATTCTGGATTCTCAGCGTCTCTCGTACTCACGGAACAGGTTTCGCTCGGATTTGTTCGTGGCATCCACTTTCGGGGTCTTCTCCCAGTTCCCTACCACGTGAGTGATGACTGCTTGGAGCAGTCTGCTTCTATCAGTTCCTTACTAGCTTGTTTCCAACGATGGTTCTCGCAGAGCAACAGCATCTTGTTACAAGATTCTTGTACGACTGCGGCGTAAAGTGAGTACATTCTTCGAGTGAATTATAATAACTGCTGATCGCCTATCAACGCTGCGTTGACAACGCAACAAATCCCTCTAGCGGATCATATTTCTTCCCTACTGAATAGGGCCTACTTATGCGGCCGCGGCCTCACTTCGAATACCAATCCCAGAAACGGTACCCTAGGTTCCACCCTTGGCGTACGGCTCATTTTGTCTGCGGTATCGCCGGCGTCCATCGCTCTCTGAGTCTGCTTGGGCCCCAAGCCTTGGGGTGCAGGGTATTCTATGATAGAATAACAGAGAGAATCGAGAGGATAACAGGAGATACAGCCTAGTAGGGTCCGCCAATTCGCTGTCTCAACTCGCTAATGTGTACCATTTGTATACCAGCTGTGATGGTGTGCGCGTTGTCGGTGTAGGGCACACCGTGTACCAACTTTCAGTGTACGAACTTCAAGCGTACCGATCGTGATACACCCAGTATTTGACAGTAGGGACTTTTATTTGCTTGAGGATGGCTCCATTTGAATTGAAGGTGACGATCAAGCAGTTAAATTAAATCAGTTCGGATATAAATGACTCTCTTGACCAGTAGACGAGGTGGTCAATGACCGCTGGCGTCTTCACTAAAGTCGAATGTCTCGAGTCGAGCTCCTCGACAAGCCTGAGATTGATTGCACTCACAACGGCTAAGGCCGGCGCAGGATTGCTTCGACTCTGAGAATGTTTTCCCTATAGTATACTTAAGGTTAGTATAAGGTTAGTCGGGTCATATCGCTGAGCCTCGCACCATTGCGTCAACTTGACGCCGTCAAGTAGCAGCGCCTGTCACTGAGGGATAATAGAGCAGCGGCCACAGGAACCCTGTGGATCCTGCGACAGGATCGTCAAGAGACATGACCAGAAGCAAGCATTCCCATAGCATACTGTTACTTGATTAACGACTCTCCAAGATTAGACGGTGAGTACGATATTACTGT